ACCCCCCCCCCCCCCCCAAAACAAAATTAACCATCTAAATGCATCTATTGTCTTGTCATTATCCTTTGTGTGATTAATTTGTCATGTGTCCTCTCTTTAAGCTGATAATCAGGGCAATGGCTGGACCTGTGAAACTTAGAGTAATTCTATCTGACAATGATGCCAGGAAGTTGATCCTGCCTAAAGGGGTGCCAAGTTCAACTGAGGGCCTCACACAAATAATCACTGAAACATTTTTGCTTAATGGGGATATCCGCTTGCAGTATAAAGATGATGATTTTGGTGGTGAGTTTATTAATTTGACATCAGTAACTGATGTTCAAGACAAAGGAACCTTAAAGGTCATCTTTAAGACTACAGGACAAAACCAAGAAAAAGTCAAGGAAAGCTTGGGTTCTTGTGAGACTCCAGAATCAACTTCTCACTCAACACTGCACAAGTCAGATGATTCTGCATCGGTCTCCTCATTGGATTCTGATGACACTGTCCTTTTATCTTCCCCTGATCCTTCTCCTGGGTCAGTGCAATCCATATCAAGATCTACCACGTGGCCACTTGTATTCCCGATTCCACGCTTCTCCTATGACTCCGAAATAATTCTAGGACAAGCCAATGCTGAATACCATGCCAGTGGAACTCGTCTTAGTCCATCTACAAAGCTGAAATCACACATTCTAGAAAGCCTAGCTGAGGAAATCATAAAATTCAAAGCATATCCAACCGATGTAGACCTTAATGCAGTGGCAGAAGCATTGATCAATAAACACCCTTGCTTACGAGAGCAAGGCTCGTACAATGGTTGCTATGGGTGGAAAATAAGCCTCAAGTACAAAATGGCAAACTTTCGTACCAAGCTCAGAAGTGTTGGGTGTTCTGAGGTAAGCATTAATTCATTAAAGAACAAACAGCAAGATCAGTGCCACGCTGCTTCAAATATTAAGAAGCCTAGAAGAGCGGAAGTGAATTACTGCCCTCAGCATCCGAAGGGAGAAACTTCTGACAGTCTGGAGAAGGAACAAGTTCAGCTTTTGACAGAGATCAGAAAAAGAAACAATGACAAAATAGTCAAAGAGAAGATGGAAAGAACCTTTTCATACAGAAGACAGGAAGTGGTTCAGAAGAAGCCAATGGTAGCAGAGTTTAAAACTCGATGGCCAGCTCTCTTTAATGTTGATGAAGTAAGTGTTTTTGTTTTTTCCTTTAAATATAGACAAGTTGATTTACTTGAGTTTGTTAAACCTGAAAAATTAGAATAGCCAATGTACTTGACTTTTTTTGTTGCTTTTTTAACAGATCAATAATGAATTCATGCGAATTACAACAGTCCCACTGCAGTTCAAGTTTCTTGCTATGCTTGACAAATATTCAGACAGCTTGATGAAGATTTTTCACACTAAGGGCGGAGTCAATGGCCAAACAATAAAAAACATCATGCAACCCGTTTCTCAGGTTGGTACATACATGAAAGTTATACACCGCATTTGGTTATCAGTATAGTAATGTCTGAGTTGTTTAATTAGTGCCTTTTTTTTGTTTTTTTGCAGAGTAACAGCATAGATGTGCGAAGAGAATGCATCCTCAAAGCATTGTGTGTGTACTTGAATGAGGACCATGTACAGCTCTTCAAGGAGTATGCTGTAAGCAAATGCTTATCTCGTTCATCTACTTCTCTTTCATTCTCTGTACAGTGTTCTTAAAGATTAGTTGTCGTACAAATGCAGCATATTTTGTTTGTTTTGCACAGGATTGCGATTGGTTGAGTGCCAAAGAAGCCATGAAGCAGACAGTAATGGGGATCTACATTGTTCGACATGAAGGACATGACCCAGTGGATCAGCCTGTGGATGTTGGCGTTGTGATTGAAGGGACTGAGGTTCTTAGCTCTTTGAGGAATGCAGCTGTAGCAGTAGCCATGTTATTCGGACTCATTTACGCCTTGAACCTTAGCTACCCACGGGAACTCAAATCTACATTTGAGGTCATCCAGAAAGTGTTCTTCAACCTGGATGGACACAGACTTTCACCAAAGGTGCAAACCCTGAAGAACAAGATGTTGGAGTAAGTTGATCCTGTTCTAATTTGTTCTGAGCTCAGCACTGAGCAGAAATTGGTGGTGTTATTGTTTTCTCTTTAACCGTGTTTTTTGATTGTATGTGGACAGTGGTTGACAGTCATTTCATTCAGGTACATGCAATATCAATATTGTTAATTTTTAGTTTTGGATTGTAGTTTGTTTCTATGTTTTACTAAAAATGTGTCAACCTAGCTGAAACTTTAAAACTACTGCTGTAGTTGATTTAAATTGATTTTAGAAATACTGGATTTTTACTAGATCTATCTTGTTCTAAGATTATATATCTTGTTCTGAGATTGTAGCTCAAGACTAAGCATAAATTGGTGTTTTTTTTCTCTTGAATTTAGTAATTGTCAGTTATACATTCACAGTGGTTGACAGACAATTTATTACATGCAAAATCCAAATTCTTAATCTTAATTTTTTTGGAATCTTCGTTAATTTCTTCGTTTTACTTAAAGTAATTGTCAACCTGGATGAAACTTAAAACTACTGCTGTAGTTGATTCTGGAAATACTGTATTTTTGATCCATCTTGTTTTAAGATAATAGTTTTGAGATTGTAGCTCAACACTAAGCACAAATTGGTGTTTTACACTCTAACAGTAATTGAAAATTTTACATTAAAAGTGGTTGATGAACATTTCATTTAATTGCATGCAATAGCAATATTGTTAATCCTCTTTCTGGTTTTTAGTTTATTTCTTTGTTTTACTAAAAGTATTTGTCAACCATGCTGAAACTTTAAAACTACTACTGTAGTTGCTTTAAACTGATTCTGAAAATGCTGTATTTTTGATCTATCTTGTTCTAAGAAAGTTTTGAAACTGTTGGTCAGCGCTGATCAGTAATTGCTGTTTTTGGGTTTCACTTTTGACACTGGAATAAAGAAAGACTTGAGACATTCACATTGAGTTGAGCATTTTGCATTTCACATTGAGCATTTACATTTAAAATACATTTTGGTTTAAAGTCAAAAATATTTCAATGAAAACATTTCTGGTTTAAATTAAGTGGTTAAAATTAATTGGCTTAACAAGACTAAACTGTGTATAAGTTAAATCCACAAGATAATTCAAACGAAAAAGATTTAATCTCGTTGGTTGAAGATGATCTTTGCTTTTGGGTTCTATTTGCCTTGATTAAGTTGAGATAACATAATTCAAATGCGTGGAAATGTGTGTCATAATTATATTAAGTTATACCAACGATTTATTTTTTTGAGTGTACATGCAGTTTGTGTTTGTCACTCTTTTTGCGGAGCTCCTCAGCAGTGCGGTGGATATATATTTTTGAGTTATATAATTACAGTGGCCATAACCAACAGTGAACATTATGATATTCTCAGTGGGCAAAGAGCCAATAAAGCCAGTAGGTCTAAACTTACAGAGTAGGAGATGTGAGCTGGCCTGCGGGCGATGGCATGACTGTATGAACTTCAATGGCCCTCACCCTCCCCCACAAATACAAGACATTTCTCTCACAATCCATTACAATACACACAGCCAACACACGTTCATACGTGCATGCAGTGATGTTTTTCAGCCCATCCTGTTATCAATCATATGTGACATAAGCCATTACCACACACTTAAATTCATAGAGACACACATATAGCAAGAAATGTTGATGAAGATCAACACAAACCACTCTCAGCAGATGTGTAGCATTGACTGAACACACACACACCCTATGGCCTTCCCTAGGTCGACTACATCCCTGCTTCTATGTTTGTCTGGTCATTACACCTTCCATTTGCTCAGAGCAAAATGCATAATGTAAAAATAAAAGTGCTTCCTGTCTGTAAACCACACTTACCAATGAAAGCACTTCATAAACTAAAAGCTCTAAACACACAACAATCCACAATCCCCATATGAGCTAGAACATCAGTTTGTACCATGGCTCACACAGAAGTCACTTTCAAACCGAGCAGCTTTCTGTTGGTCAACGCAGTAAAGTGACTAACTTGAACCTGTCGCAAAATCTGTGAGGGAACCACTTTCGCCCTCACACAAAATTCCAAATTGTGTGGCTTTCTTTTGAAATCTATTAAAATTTGCCAAACAACATTGCAGCAATAGTGAAATAATACTTTTCTTAAAGAGAAAATGTCCTTTTTTGTTCTATCTAGGCTTAATATTGTATATTAATACAGTATTTCATATTAGTAAGCCATTCGTAGGTTAATTTTCATTAAACGTGCAAACACTGTGACCCAGTGGCACTATCAAAAATTGCCAAAAAATGCTCTATTTGTTTAACCACCCAGCCCGACATAGTAACATTGGCTCATCAATAGCGTGAGTTTGGGATGTTTGACCGACCAGTGGAAGATGAACAGAATGCTTGGTAAATTACTAAACTAAATTACTTTTCCATTTAATTTGGTGACATACTGACACTCCTTTAATATCTTCTCTACAACATATCTCCATATTAGCAGCAATGGCATTGGCTAAATGTAAAACCTCTCTCATGTCCTTGTGTTCTAGTGTGCAGTGGCAAACCAGAGCAAAAGGTTAGAAGGCATTTCCCTCAATGGCATCAGCATACTATAGGTGGTGGTTAGGAAGCCAGGGGGCGGGGCTTCTTCCTTCCATGCTGTCAGCACAATAACAGGGTTTCCCAAATACAACAACACTGCTGGGAAACTGCCGCACACAAATGAGAACTGAGGACTAACAGGAAAGTTTGGGTGAGATGTGGAGTGACCTGTGGCCTGTGTGACTATAAGCAACACTACATCTGCAGAAAAATGCATAAACACAAGTACTGCCCATTCAGTGTAGGTGAATCACATTTTTAGCCTTCAGAAATATATGTAGTTTAGATATTTTATCTCAAACTGCCTTTGAATGAGATAGTGGCCCCAGAAAGGATTTGGACACACTTAAAATGTCAAGAATGTCAATGTATTAGATACAAAATGTTGATTCAAGTAGTAATGTCACTTCTGTGTTTGTTTTAAATTACTGATTGACTAGGCCACTGTTATCTATATCCAAATACTTTTTATCTTAAAGGGATAGTTCACCCAAAAATGAAAATT